AGAATCACCATTGCAATGATATGAATTCAAGCCAGATTCGAATTAGTGTAGAATTCAAATTCATGATTTTCGATATATATATACATGTATTAGATTCCCATCTTTGAGTTGAGTCCATCTTTGTACAATACGTATGTTGATGTGTGTGGTACATGTGTAATTACGTACATGTAATAATCATCCGTCACAAATAATTAACTTTAGCATTTGGATACGGTTAACTGACTGATGTGTTTTATGACAAGTCAGTTTAAAGTTTTTTATGTACACGTATATGATTATCCAAATTTAGGGATGTTAAAAAGTCTGACTCCAGAAGTTGAGTCTTAATAATAGACTTACTTAATTTCCTTTTGTTAAATGAGTTAAACAAATCTGAAAGTGGCGTTACTACATTGCTATGACGATATCGATATTGTATTCTCGTTTGTTTCTTGACGATTATACAATTACATTGATTTTGCACCTGATATATTGATGTACGTATTAAAAGATGTCATTTTGAATAATAAATCGAAGATAAAATTGAATATTCATAGAAATGAAGAGCCGTTTAACTTATCATTTCACTTATTATCGTTATGCTTCCGTTTCGAAACTGTTTTTGCTTACTGCTTGAATAATTAAAGGATTTCGGAATTCAACTTGCGAATTAAAATGACTAACTTTTATTAACGTTAATGATTTTTTGCCAATCTTTTGAGATACGTATACAGTATGCAAGAGTACGTAATAATTTTTGAACGGGGTTATAAAAAATTGGAATCTTGTATTTGTCTTTTGCATAAAATTCTAAATTACAACTAAATTTCCGGAGCAACAGACTGAAGTAAAGCAGAAACATCGGTAAAGTTTTGATAATTGATATTTTTATTGAAAAACGAACTTAAAAAACAGGTACAACGAACTAATAAACTAACTAAACGAAAAAAACGAACAAAAAAACAGACACAATGAACTAATAAACTTAACGAAAAAACAGTTAAGAAGCTAAACAAAAGAATAAAATGAATAATCGAATAAAATATATATTATTTGCGAAGAATGATCAAAATATGTAATTTATAATCGTCAGTGAATCTATATATTGACTTACTTGTGCTTAGTATCATACATATCATATAGTGAGGTTAACATGTAGAGGGGTTAAATTATATATCATATAACGGAAAAAATGATTCAAAAAAAAAGATATCATATAAATTTTCAAAATTGAGATTTAATAAATCATATTCTGGGATAAATAGCTGTGATTGTGATTCTGACAAGTGTGACAGTATCGATGGTGTTATTGGATTATTAGTGACAATAAATGGTTCGTTGACAGCAGTAGCGTCAAAATTATCGTTGATCATAAAAGGATGGGTATTATCAATGGTTGTTGGAGCGGCGATAACAGTAGGATTATATTCAATTGTTGATGTTGTGTCATTCAAAGAGGACGAGCCAGATATGGATAGCGAAGCAAACGCGTATTCCTTTTGTGTGCGAAAAACCCATTTCCTAATGTTTGCATCTTTCTCATTTTTAGGCTTATACTTATAATTAGGATATAAGCTTTTGTGATTCTCACATGCTATCTTCTCTAATATTTTAAAGAAATATTTAACCTCGCTTGATAGCTTTCGCCACTTTAAACTGCATTCCTTTGCTGTTTCTTTGATTTTTAGTTTGACGTGTTGATTGCGTAAACGTAAATGCGCTTCGTAATCTCGCCGAAAAATTATCCAACTGTTTTGTGGTCGTGGTGGTTTATCAGAATTGCCACGTTTTTTTACAGCTGGTTTAGTTAATTCTTCAATAGAAAGAGTTAACTGGTTAAGGTATTTACTTAAGATTATTAAATCATTGCGGTTCAGATAATCGTAATCAGAACTAATGACGGGATTAGTCATTTTAACAGTGCAGTAATTTGTGAAAAGTGCTAATTGAGAAAAGACAAAAAACATTATCACTTTCATAGAGTTGTCAAGCACTGTTTTTTATACTCTCTTATGAAGATCCTTATTTACATTATTATCTGCAACAACGCTATATAGCCAATAGACTTTTCTGTTATGTTCTCATTGATTATCCTTTCGTATTACCGTTATATCGGCAACGATATATAGCCAATAATATATAGCCAATAGGCTTTTCTGTTCTCATTGATTATCCTTTCGTATTACCGTTATATCAGCAACGATATATGACAATAGGCTTTCTGTCATTGATTTTCCTTTCGTATTACTATTTCTGTTCCGTTCTCATTGATTATCCTTTCGTATTACCGTTTTCTGTTCCGTTCTCATTGATTATCCTTTCGTATTACCGTTATATAATCATCATTTAGCCAAAAATATATCGTTACACACAGGAATATAAACAACTTGTCTTTTTATATCGATAGGTTTTATATTTCATATGACGATATGATAATGTTTTTGTCTAATAAAATGCACGATACATTAAAATAATGAATGAATCACCCCGGTCACCCGCATTAAACCCGGATCAAAATTTGGCGTCTATTTGTATCAATGCTAGCACATCACTTGTCCGCTATTTCATCATCCGTGAACAATACCAAAAGTTTGACCCGAAACAACCCGATTTTAAAAATGATGCAGACACCCGAGTGATGAATTAAGAGACGATTCGAAAAACAATAAATACCATCCGGCAGCTTGTATAGAGTTAATCGAAGTGATATCATCAACTCCTAGAAAATTGTTTAAATTAATTTCCGAGATTCTTATATAAATATCAATGAAGAAAATTATTTTGTACACTGCGCCTTTGTGAATTTCAGATGCTTTCTTTAATTTTCTATTTTCTATATTTTCTTCAAATTCATTTCGAAGAGCGCGATAATCCCATTCTCCAATTATATGTTGAATCTCTTTTGCTGTTGGCCGTTTCGATGGATCCGAATCCCAACAACAAGCCATTAGCTCTCGATAATATCATCAGGAACTTCTGGCCGAATTCCGTCGCAAATATCAAAGATGAGTGCAGCTTGTAAATGGGCGCTCTCCATTCCAAATTTCCCACATAATCATTCCAAAAGAATAAATATCGCTAGCCGTCGTGTATTTTCTCGTTTGCAGGACTTCAGGTGCAACGTATGGAATTATACCAAATACTTCATCACCGATAATTTCTGAAGTCTTTCTGCACCTCCCAAAATCTGTTATATACAACAAATATAATCCATTAAATAAAATATATTCTCATTTTTGATTAGATTATATAGTGAACCATCTTCATAAAAGCGAAGAAGTAGAATATAGTTTCTAGTTTCTGGATCCCTGGAAATTCCAAATGATCTCGCAATATTATCGAAATGGCTATGGAGAACTGCAGATTTTATCTACATAATAGTTAAAATTCCTTAAAGTAAAGCAAATTTAAGTAGATTATTTAAAGTCAATATTTACTTATTGAATAATATTCAAATTTGCATCACTTGACCAAAACCTCCCTCATCAATTAATTCTATTTCACTAAATTCTTCGGAGGTAATCCACTCAAGGAAAGCACTAAATCTATAAATGTCAACTTGAGATTCTTTAATGATTTTATCAATTTTATTAGGGAGCTCACAAGTAGGACAAAATTGACAATAAATATTACATTTTTCATGACAGTTTGGGCAATTTCCTTCTTTCTTTGTTATTTGAAAAAATCATTATACGAGTAAAAAATTGTAAAATAATTTTCTAATTCTTTATTTATCAATTTAATCCACAATTTTATACCATTTGTAACCATTTATGACAATTTGGACAACCTCTTCCATTGCTTCGTTATTTGAAAGACATTACTCTAAAGAAATAATAAACATATAATGCTATGACGATAATGGACATTAAATTCAGCTGTCAATTATTGTCAAAAAATTAGATTCTGAGAATAAAGCATATCGATATACATAAGAATTGAACTACATACCGATACGTGTCATTTTTTTACATTTGTGTAATCTAACTAGTATTTATTGGGAAAAGATCGTCCGATGGTTATGTAATTGATGAAACTATTTTCATGATAACTAAGGTTTCGTCACTCCATTCGTTGATATGATAAATGACGACTGTGACGAAAACTTCTGACCAATTAAAATAATGGCTTAAATCACATGGACACAGTGAAATTTTTTATAGTGGATCGAGCTTGTTACAGAAAAGTCTTAATACAATTACATGTAGTAAACTTTTTCATTTTTAGTGGACATTCGTTATACATGTAGCGGGGAATTTCTTGGGATCTTACCCTACACTATAAAGAGTGACTGTACAAAGTGATACCATGTACTATGGTGCTACGCATTCCGAATTTTAAAAGAATGTTACATTATTAAAAGCCTGGTATTTGATTGGTCGAAGGCCATGGACGATCAAAATTATGCTGAATTTTGGCCAGCATTATGAAACCAAGAAAAATGTAGAATTTTAAGCCTATCGCTATATACATGTAACTGGTAAAATTGTGCAGAAAAACCAAACCGATAAATTGATAAAGCTTGCCTTTAAGCTAGTTTGCCAAAATTAATTCGTCAGACGATTCATTCGTCACCCAGTCGTCATTCACCACTTACATTTCCAAATGGCCATGGCGAAAGGTTCTGTCAAATTGGCATGACGAAAGGTTTCGTGTGAATTTAGCACAGTTCTGAAATAATGGCACACAATATTTTCATTAATCCGATTTACCTAATTAATCTTAATAATTTTCTTGTATAATACAAATCGTATTCGGCAACAGATTTTACGCAATTCCTCACTCCAACACTTGTTTCTAAATATATACATGTACTTTCTCTATCACGATTGAACTGAATTCGTGAAGCATTTAAAGTTGAATTTTCCACCCAGTCGCAATTGCTTTTGTATTTAATATATAATGTCTGTTAATTCAAGTATATGTTGTCTAGTGTTAAATTCACTCCATAATGGTAAGCATAATTATTCTTTGGGAGGATTTGTTTACTGCAAATGTCTATTGAACTTCAGAACTACATGATGACGTATCTTCTTACCGTATCCTAAATGCCGTAGCAACATCAAGTTTTTTAATTCCATAATTTTAACATAATTTAGCATGATCATCCTCTCTATAGTTAACGTTAATATATAATTTAATACTGATTTAACGTTAGTTTTTACTTTGTTTCCTACCGCTACTAATCAATCACAACTTGCTTTGATTTTGTGTATCACGCCACTTTTAAACTCACATGTGGGTTATGATTGATTCTGCTGCATTTATGCATTGAATAATTTCCTAAATTTAAAAGGTGAATGTTTCATCAAGGACTAACGAATATCAATATCGATATGCAGTACTTTTCAATATAAAATATAAAAGTTTTCTAGAATTTCTATCGCCGTCAATATTAATCTAAACAAATAAATAAGTATTCATTTTAAACCTCGAAACATCTAATATTTTTAAAAAATAATTTGACAACAGATTATTTTAACCATTTTGGTGAAATTGAGTGATTTAATTCAAATTTTCAATTAGTAAATGCTTCACATTGAACAATTTTTCTCTAAAAAAATCCTAATTCGGACCACTAATTAAAACTTCTACTCCATAAAATCCGTCTATGCACAAATTTTCATAAAAATAGACTAAGATTTAAGACCCCCGAAGGTCCGAATTTTTGCTAGGAGCATATTAATTTGATCTGGATCTTAAATCACGATAAATTTACTAATTGGAAAATTTGACTTAAATTACAATAGAGATTTCGAAGTTTAAAATTAATACTTGTTTATTTTGTTTAGATTAATATTGATGGACGGAGATAAAAATTTTATCGCTTGTTCCATTTCTTGTATGAACTATATTTCTAATGTTAAATTCGACGATACTCCTTTATACTGTGATCATTGGTACAACTACATAAATTAAGCAAGAACAACAACTACAGTGAGAGCTCTTTACAGTAACTGATCGAGGGAAGAGATTTGGTGTTATTATATCGAAATGTTGCTCGAAAAAATAAATACAATGAAAGCTTATTACAGTAATGAAATCGGGGCAAGGAATTTTTCGCTTGATTATTTTTTGGTATGATGGTATGGTCCATAGAAATTTGATTCGACAAAGCAATGTCAGAGTTAGTATTGTTCATGTTCTGTATTAAGTTCTTGAGAAAAACGAAGTAAGTGAGAGCTCGTTACAGTAACACTCTTAAAGATAAAATCTCGTTACAATAACACAAAATATCTTCTGAAACAAGCCGCAAGATTCCTTACGAATTAGCCAAGTATTTATTCAAAAAATTAACAATTCAACAAAAATTTACAGATTTAGTAGAATAACACTATGATTCAGCAAAAAATAAAGGAAAAATAAATTGAGAATTTTCTCAGAAAATTCTATTTGATTTCATACTTAGTGTATTTTGTATATCAAGTCAAATTAACCTTGAGTTTAACATTCTCTGTTTCACATTAAATCTACTAATCCTCTAAATGCTTGCTTGTGATGTATAATTGACTTATCATAAGGAGAGATCCAGCAGTAGGACAGCGTGATGGGGATACAATTAGAATGTGAATAACAACAATCATCATTCTCGTGTCATTTAAGCTTAGCATTTAGCATCATGGTATCGGTATGCATAATTAAGAGATGTCCGTCATGTGAAACGTATCACCAGGCATTTAGTAAATACACGTAGTTTAATTTCATGGTCAATTCGGTAATTGAATATCAAATTCTAATCGAAGAATCGTAGTAAAAGTTATGACTAGCACTTTGTAATAAAGTATATTTTAAATAGAGTAATCTTTTTAAGTACAACTTGTGTTAGGGAGCAAGTATCCCGGTTGACTCGACTCAATTGACCGAGTGTAACTAGTGAAACCTGGTTGGTGAAGTTACATTTGTTGCGATTTGC